AGGCAGTACTTGGCTACTCAGCTTGCCCCATGGGTGAGCAAAATCCCCAGTCACCTCCCTTGGATGTCAGTCTTCCTCCAGAGAATCCTGTCCGTATCTGCCCTTGCAGTTCATGTTGACCATGATAGGGGAACATGGAGGAGGCAGGTGTAGGGGAAACGGGAAGCATTATAGTCTCTCCAAGTCCAGCAGGCAACTGCACTTCCAGCAGTCTGAGGATGCTTGTAGCTGCCTGTTCACATGGGCATCTGGAGCCACCGTGGCTCTGTTTGTGTTTTAGAAGCAGTTGCAGAAGCGTCGACCTTGTTTGGGGAGTTTATTGATGCAGTGGACAATAAAGGGGTTCTTTTCTTGGGGCAGACCAGTAACCCCCTTTAAAAATAGTCATGCATTAAAGAGAGAAGTACTTGGGGTGGGTGAGTTTTCAAAGCTCGAAATAATTTAAAACAACTGGCAAGGGGAAACATAATTTTTTTTCCTCTGCACATTAAGAAGTATGAGGGGCCTTTTAAAGGAAAAAAAAATGAGGAGTCCTTGGAGATATGGGGTGATGCCAAGCCTCTGGAGGTCCTTGTCCCAGTTTAAGAGAAACTTGCATGTTCCATTGTTTCATTTGGATCAGTCCCAAAGCAAATGTAAATAGATTGCACCATCATGTTCCTTACGTAATTGTACTGCAACAGCAAACATGACGTGGTGGGAGAGAAGCCGATGAGCTATCTTTAAGATATAGGTCATCCCAGCCAGTTTATGCTGGATAAATCAGATGTCATAGCTTGTATTTTAGCAAAACTGCAATTAAATCATCGTTTCAGACATCTGGAAGACACCAGGCTGGGGAATGTGGCATATAGTTCATCGCCCAGTGGAAGTTTTAGGTGAGGCTATCCAGCGTATTCACTGCTGTGCTCAGTCTTCTGTGCCCATTACCTCTGGAAATGATTGGGCTCCCCACCCCTGCCAATGGTTAATTTTTCACAAGCATCCATGGCTTCAAGGTAAAATGTTGCTGTCCCCCAAGTTTTAATGTTTAACTTGATTGACCTTTTTTAAAAAAACCTAGCTCAATAAATGGCTTTCTTTTCAAATAAATAAAACTCCCCAAGCGGGTGACCAGTTGAGCAAGCTCTGCAAAATAGATGGTAGTCCTGTTGGAACTGCCTTGTGGCCATGCTAGTTAGTTACAAATTCACTTGTTATTGACAAATCACAGCAGTTGCCACGCACATCCTGTATGCTCCAAGGAGAATACTGAATGACTAAAAAAAGTCATTATAAGAGTCTCGACTTTTTCCCCTTCCTCCCACCCTGTCTGCATCCCCATACAAGAACTGCTCATGCTTGCATGTAGCAGGGAAGGCCCTGTAGCTCAGTGGTCAGTGGCTGCTTATAGACTCCACATCTGTATTATTCATTCACAAACTACCTCAGGGTAGGGGCACATGGTTCTCTCCTTCATCTTTTACCCTCACAAGAACCCCATAAGAAGTTAGACTTAGAGATAATGACTAGCCTAAGAAGCCTTCAGGATTGATCAGGGACTCCCCCAGGATGGTGTAGTGCGACTCTGACATTGCAACCAGCTGGGTCTGAAGGTATAAGCCAATTCTGTTAGAAAACATTGGATGGAATTCTGATAGTAGTATTTGATCTGTGAACATGGTTCATCCACTTGATATTCCCTGTCATCTTGTGTTCAGTGTGCATTTCTGAATCAACAAATGGTTGTTGAAGAACTTTCTGCCATATCCACTTCAGCAAAAAAAAGCCTATGGTGGGGTTGATTTTGCTCCTGAACTTAACTACCTACTGTAATTTAAGGGAGCCACACACACCAATGCATTACTCCACATCTTCCATCATTGGCCATACTGGAGTTTAGGGCATTAATTTGAGGAAGACTCACTTAAGGTGTCTCACTCACTCATATTCACTCCCTGTAGACGACCCTCTCAACAGTCCCTACTTTGAAGGACTGCCTTTTTAACAGGAGGCATTTGATTTGCTAATAGTGGCTGCCACTTTTTGGAAAGAAGCCAAAGATCTGAACTGTTCAAGGAACTACAGTGGTGCCTCGCTTAACGAGTGCCTCGCTCAACGATGAATTCGCATAACGATGGCCTTTCCTGGAAATTTTGCCGCCTCACCTAACGATGTTTCCTATGGGGGATTTTCGCATAACAATGTTTGGGACCTTGCTTCACTTAACCATGACAGTTTTAGGTCCCCTGTTTCGCTTAACTTTTTTTTTTTGACAGCTCTGTTTTCGCTACAGTGGGGTCTCTACTTAAGAACGTCCCTACTTAAGAACAATCCAACTTAAGAACAGCTCCATTTGCTAAATTTTGCTTCTACTTGAGTACAGAAATCCAAGATAAGAACAGGAAAAAAAACCTTTCCTGCTCTTTTTTTAACCTTAGGTCATCTTAGGTTAAAAAAAATTCTCCCCCTAGTGGTAGAGTACGTATTAACCAGCTTTGCATTAGTTCCTAGGGGAACTAAAGCTTCAATATACGAATGCACCTCTACATAACCAAAAAACAGCCAGAAGGGATTAATTGGTTTTCAGTCCATTCCTATAGGAAATTTTGCTTCAACTTAAGAATGTTTCAACTTAAGAACACCATTCCAAAACGGATTAAGTTCTTAAGTAGAGGTTCCACTGTAGTTGCTATGAACGGAAAAGAGCAGGTACGGATTAGATGGTTTTCAATGCATTCCTATGGGAAATGCAGATTCAACATAAGAACTTTTCAACTTGAGAACCACCTTCCAATACGGATTAAGTTCTTAAGTAGAGGTTCCACTGTAGTTGCTATGAACGGAAAAGAGCAGGTACGGATTAGATGGTTTTCAATGCATTCCTATGGGAAATGACGTTTCGCTTAACAATGTTTTCACATAACGATGTTTTTAATGGAACCAATTAACATCATTATGCGAGGCACCACTGTATTCAGATTTCTCAAGTCATGGGCTGGGGAAGAGGAAAACAACTTTATCTCACATTGATTTCATAATTGTGCAAGAATCTAATTTGTTCCTTGGAACTAACTCAAATAACAAATCTTTTTTTAGCTATTATATTTGAGCATTATTTGACCAACCTGTCCTATTACTGATTAAATATTTGCTCAAAAGTAGAAAGACATAGGCGGGGATTAGCACCATGCCCTAGAGTCGGACATGACTGGACTAAATGTCAAAGGGAACCTTTACCTTTACCTTAAAAAGATATATATTTTCAAATTGTAAGTGGATAATATTTCTTATATGCTATTGCATCTCTCTTTTATAAGAAGAACATTCTTAAGAATGTATCTTTTACACAGTTATACAATGCACAAACAAACACACACACACACAAGAGTTATATAAGCAGTTTGATGCCACCTTTAATGGTCATGTTAGACTTTACGAATCCTGGTATTTGTGAATTAACAAGGTACTGTACATAAGAACACTACTGAAGAGCTGTAGTACTTTATCTTAAACTGTAGTAGAGAACTCTTAAGGACCCCATCAAACTACATCTTGCAGGATACTGCTGGACAGAGGCATGTTAGTTTAGATTGTATTAAATTGTTCTAACTGGGCTCCATAGCTCTGAAGGCATTACTGTTAGATAACACCATCTTTATGGCTTATTATGGCATCATGGCTTATTAGTTTGGGTAGCTTTTTGACACGTAGATCAACTACGGACTGGATAAGCATTGTTGCCCCACTCAAGTCAAAGCAAAGAAGCTTGCCTGCCTTCTCAGAGTATTTCAATAGCCTTTGTCCACTTGCTTTTATTTCCAATTAAATCCCCAAACCTTCCCATTGTTTGAGGAATGCAGTTTCAGTGAAGCATTGATAAGCAACTGAGGATGAACAGACAGATGGTCAAGATGTTGCAGAAGGTCAAGGGAAGAAGAGACTATTAATGGATGGAGAAAGGCTAAAAAGAAACAACCTTGAACATGACCTCTTTCCTTCTATCTCCTGAGATGGGGAACTCTCTCTGTTTGAAAGGGTGAACCACTATCTTTATTCACAAATGTCTCTATCTAAGGAGAAATTAATTGTCCAGGGAGAAAAAGTTATGCATATCCCACTCCCCAATGGCTAAACTTTGTTGTTGTTTAGTCGTTAAGTTGTGTCCGACTCTTCGTGACCCCATGGACCAGAGCCCGCCAGGCCCTCCTGTCTTCCACTGCCTCCCGGAGTTGGGTCAAATTCATGTTGGTCGCTTCAATGACACTGTCCATCCATCTTGTCCTCTCTCATCCCCTTCTCCTCTTGCCTTCACTCTTTCCCAACATCAGGGTCTTTTCCAGGGAGTCTTCTCATGAGATGGCCAAAGTATTGGAGCCTCAGCTTCAGGATCTGTCCTTCCAGTAAGCACCCAGGGTTGATTTCCTTCAGAACAAATAGGTTTGTTCTCCTGGCAGTCCAGGGGGCTCTCAAGAGTCTCCTCCAGCACCACAATTCAAAAGCATCCGTTCTTCGGCAGTCAGCCTTCTTTATGGTCCAGCTCTCACTTCCTTACATCACTACAGGAAAAACCATAGCTTTGACTATGCAGACCTTTGTTGGCAAGGTGATGTCTCTGCTTTGAAGATGCTGTCTAGGTTCGTCATCACTCTCCTCCCAAGAAGCAGTCTTCTTTTAATTTCGTGGCTTCTGTCACCATCTGCAGTGATCATGGAGCCCAACAAAGTAAAATCTGTCATTGCCTCCATATCTTCCCCTTCTATTTGCCAGGAGGTGATGGGACCAGTGGCCATGGCTAAACTAGGTCAGTGCAAAAAGACTAAATTGCAGAATTATATGTTTTGTAAGACTTGTTGAATATATTTGGAGTGGGCTCGGCAGCATGTGGTCATGTTTCCAACAAGTAGGTGTTTTTCAGTTACAAAACAATTTGTTTCTCAACTATTGGAAAGACTTTGCCCAGTCATCAAAGTGTGCACAAGAGGAGTGGCATGCAGATTTAAAATATTGTGTAATGCAGAAGGAAAGGCTGGGCAAGACTTTGGCCAAATAGGCATCACTCAGATTTCTTCCTTCCATTCCACCGAAAGTCCAGCTGAACATGGCTCCATGGTTAGGTGTCCTCCTTAGCCTCAACACAACAGTGTTGTTGTGTATACTGTTGTTAATACTTATGTTCTTAGCTTTGAGCAGCCCTGGAAAATCATCCCTGCGCTTTCCTCCAGGTCCTCGTCCACTTCCCATTATTGGAAATTTGCACTTGCTAGATATTAGAAGACAAGACCTGTCGTATATGAAGGTAAGATGTGTGTCAGGGTGGAGGGGAGTTCTGCTTATAGAGCCGCCTGTCTTCAGTGCCTTCTGTTTGTGTTTTCCCACACTTGCTCAGTAATTTTCTACCATGTGATTTTTAGAAGACATTGTCATGATGTGACAATGTGCATCAAACTATTGCATTCCTTAAGGTGTTTGTTTGTTTGCCTGGTGCACTAGTTTTAATTGTGCAAAGGCACTCCTGGCCACCGCCGAACCTTTGGCACCCAGGCTCGAAGGGGAATCCAGGGTGAGCACCCCCAAGCTGTGCTGAAGGGGAATCCAGGGTGAGCACCGCGAAGCTTTGCACCTGGGTTTTCAGAGGGAGCGTCACCCCATCCAGCACAGTCTGCAACCCTGTTCCCCCCTCCTCTCTCAATCTCTCTTACACACTTTATTTAGTTTAAAACAATATTGATAGTACATATAAAGAAGGAAGGAAACACAGAAAGCATGAAACAAAAACTAAAAAACTAAAAAAACAAGAAAAGAAAAAGATTAAGGTACAGTAATATTGCAGGACGGGGGGGCAAACCTATCTGTGAGTAAGTTTGGATAGATTTTTAGGATTGCACTGTCTTTTACAATCTTTTAAAGATGTTACATATGTAAGTGTGTGGCCTTTTGTAAAGAACAAATAAAACATCACTATTTGTAAAGTTTTGCAACAGACTTAGAAAGAGTCTGTATAATTACCCTTTATGTTTCAGATGTGAATGGATTATTGCTTGTTAATCCCAAATAATGCTCCCTTTTGCAGAGAGAGATTGTAACTCATATATGCCACTAACTTATATATGAATGCTTCTAGATCTTTGTGAAGGCCATCATAAGAATAATCATGTGCTGTCAAGTCGATTTTGACTTACGGTGATCCTTTCCAAGGTTTTCCAGGTAGAGAGTATTCAGAAGGGGTTAAACATTCCCATCTTCTTCTAGAGGAACCTTGCGACTCTGTAACTTGCCCAAGTCCACATAGGCTCTTCTACAAAGCACGGTGTGGAATTGAACTCCCATCTCCTGGATGCTCCAGTTCACTGAGCTATTACAGTCCTTTGAAGTTGCTGAACTTAAAACCTTAGGTTGTGGGGGGGCATTGATGTATATGGATGTGTACCTTTGGACTAGGATTTTGAGAGTTCCCCAAGCAGAATTCTGAGAGTTGAACTACAGAAGCATGAACTCCAGACACCTCTACAGTAGTTCAATGTTGCCTTCTTTTAAGTCCCTTTGTGCTGCTGGTTCAAATTATTCAGCTGTTTACAAATGTATGTTATTTGTGCATAAGCTTTTAAAAATATTATCTAGTATATCTGTTTGTTTTTAAACTACGGTTTTATAACTGATTAAGTTTGTTGCTTTTGATATTTCTTAGTTGCATTATTTTATTGCATAAACTACCTTGTGTATATAAATAAATAAATAAAAGGAGTACAGCATCTGTTGTCCACAGAAAAAAATCACAATTTCAAACTCTGATCCCTCTAGTTAAAGGAATCATGTAGCAGATTAAAGGAAAGAGCCAAAGAGTAATGTTGGCATTCTTCCATCTGGTTCCCGTATGTGCTTTAATATAACTTCCATTGACCCAGACAACATAGCTGAGAATGGCAGGCATCATCGTCAAACATGTCTGGAGGGTGCCACATCACAGAAAGTTGGCCTAGATGGAACAATGATCGAAATCTCTGTATAGCAGTTTTGTTTGTTCTGATTGTGAGTCCCATCCATTCAAGCATCTAATTCTCAGCAGTAACGTCCAGGGAGCCTAGCAATTTTCAGCTCATGTCTTGTTCATCGTTAACACCCTAAAATCCAAGACTGGCTTTTTATTTTCCTTTCCAGATTTCAGAAGAATATGGCCCAGTCTTCTCGTTGTTTTTCGGCTCCCAAAGGGTTGTGGTGGTGACTGGTTATGAAGCTGTGACAGAGGCCCTCATGAGCAAAGGCAGTGAATTTGTGGACAGGCCTGTCGTCCCTGTATTCCACCACATGAATCATGAGAATGGTAAAGGCAATAAGACAGAATATTCTCTGTCATCGTGATTGCACACTTTCTTTCTTTTAATCATGCTGTAGAGATTCAGTTTAAGGAAGGCAATGATAGTTTTAGATGCATTTATCTGACCGATGTTCACAATGATGTTTATTTTAACTTGTTGAAGTTATTATCAGTTTTGCATAATCTTATTCTGGCTTTACGTTTTCTTGTCTGTCCTAAACCACTGTAAGAGGATATACTGGAAAGCAATTTGAACATTCATAAAATAAAATTTAAATGTCTGCTCTCCTATGGACCTGCCTAACTTTAAAGATCTTTCTGTTCACGTCGAGTTCTGTGCACCGCCACTTTCAGCTTTTTCTATAGTGACATGCTCCACCCTTCACAAACATATTTATCAGCTAGAAATATTTTTCATTACCCACTTCAGGTTTTAACAGCATTCATGCAAGCACTTTTACCAAATATCTCCTTTTTTTGTTAATTGTCACAGGGTTTTACTCACAGCTGGCTTTTATATTTTTTATCACTTTCCTGCGATTATGAGGTAGGTAATATGGCACCTTCCAGAGGCTGATGGACTACAGTTAAGAGTAGTTACTTGAAGCAAGGGCGCTCTATCTCTTGTTCTTGCCGAGAGGACATGGTGAAGTATTTTCAAGCTGCATCACCTCCAGTACAAGAACAAAAATACAAGTTTCCTCCCTGTGAAGATCTGTGCAATTTGTGCAAAATATCTTTGCAAAAAGTTGGTCTCCTTTCCCTGTAAAAACAGGGCAACAGCTAAACAGCAAATGAGCCATTTTTGTAGATAATTGATTCTTTCCCAGGGCATCAGCAGCAAGCTGATTCAGTGAACATGTGAGCAGAGAGTTCAGAGTCAGAAAGCCTTGCTCTGCCAGATTCGCTCCTTGTGTTCTGATCTGTCCAAAAGTTAGTCTCGCAAGGCATAAGAACTTTGCATGAGACCAACAGAAAACAACCTGCCTTTTCACAGGCAAGGAGAATATTTTGTGTGTGTATGGTTTCTTTTTCTCACTCATGAAAGATTGGGAGAAGCAAGGATTTACATTCCTAATCGTAATTCGTCCCTAGGCTGCACTGCCACAAAGCACAGTGGCAACGAGAAATGTAATAAGCAGTAGCTTTCTTGATGGTGTGGGTGGAAGGGGGAGGTGGAAAGCATTTTTACCCCCGTTTTCACTGGAAAAAGGTTTCCAGAGCAACAAATAAAGATCAGTAAATAATACGGATCCACAGGCTTGCAGCTTGAAAGACCTGAGATGCACAGAGAAGAGGGCCTTTCTCTCACCCTTTTTGGGCACACTTACTGGCTGCTGTCCTGCATTCTCTCCATACTCAAATTGCGTGACTAGCTTTTCCATCAAACACGTGGGGAATAGGAGCCATCCAGCAAGGCCAGAATGACCAAGAGCCTGGCCAGGTCAAAGGATCCCAAGGCAGCAGGGAAGTGTTCAACCAAGAAGGCAAGAAGAGTGCGCACAAGACTGAAGGAAGCATTGCCATGGCAACAGCTAAACAGCAAATGAGCCATTTTTGTAGATAATTGATTCTTTCCCAGGGCATCAGCAGCAAGCTGATTCAGTGAACATGTGAGCAGAGAGTTCAGAGTCAGAAAGCCTTGCTCTGCCAGATTCGCTCCTTGTGTTCTGATCTGGAGACTCAGGCCAGGCTCATTTTATATATCTACTGGTCATGGCTTGGAAACAGGGGCCAGGGACCAGTCAGGGTGCACTGGATCCTCTGATCCTGTTCTGAGCGGGCTCTTTTTTCAGAGTGGCAGCTTAGAGAAACCCATCAGGGTTCACTAAATTTCCCCCTCTCTAGTACACATCAGGACCAGCAGTGTCATTCTCCTCCTTAAGCGATCTAGGCTGGCTCTGATCCTAGTGCCTCATGCATCCTGCAATAGGCAAATGAAACGGCAAATGAAACGACATGAAATGTTTAATCCTCAGGCTTATTCTTTTCCGTTGGGGACCTGTGGAAGACCACCCGTCGATTCACCTTGTCAAGTCTGCGGGAGCTTGGGATGGGCAAAACCCGGCTAGAGAGGAGGATCCATGAAGAGCTGCCCTTCCTGATGGAGAAGATCAGGGCCTTCAAAGGTGATGCGTGTCTTTTGTCTTTCATCACCACTTTGTCTATGCTGCTTGCCGAGTGCAACCATAGTTATTTTCCACTCTTCTTCTATTTTTCTTTTTAGGTGAAGCTTTTGATTTACTGGAATTCTCTGGTGCTGCAACAAACGTTGCATTCACCTTATTCTTTGGAGACAGATTTGATTATGCTGACCCTATTTTCAACATCTTCCTGAGAAACATCCATGAAATCATTGGGCTTTTGGGAGTTCCACACTTGCAGGTAAAGGGGGGGGGGCCCTTCCTGACCAAAGTCTTCCGTTGTAATTGCCAGTGGGGTTAGAAATGACAAAAGAATATTCTGGCTGTGGACTGAGTCCACTGCATTGAGTGCTGCTTCCATGAGCAGACATTTATACCCCTACTTGGGTGAGGAATAGAAAGGAGTAAACATTCAAAAAGTTCAAAGACTGATCCTTCCTTTAACAAGGATCCTTCAACATGCAGTCCCTAGTATGTCAAGCAGAAATCCTTGCATAGTTAAGCAGACCCATGCCTTATGTGTCTGTTCCCCACCTTGCCCTCCCATCTGAGCATAAGTATAATATGTGCCTGCTATCCACAGAAGGAATACACCATGCAGCTGACCAAGGAGGCTTCCATCTAGAAAAGCTTATCCAAAGGAAAAAAATGCCTACAGATTCTTTTTCGTGTTTGCTGCAATGGACTAACACAGCAAACTCTTTCCCCCAGAAGTGTATCCATCAAGGAGATACAGTAGGAACCCTTTATTTGCTGGGGATTGGTTCCATTCCCCCTGCAAATTCTGAAAACCATGGATAATAGTGAATGCTGTATAGATAGCATGATAAATGGAAAAAAAAACCAAGAAAAATATTTTCGCATGCATTACCAGAACTGGCTATTGGAGGGCTCCAGGGAACATGCTGTGCATCCTTCACTATTCATATCATGACTATGGATCTATCTTGTGGCCTGTTATGGTGATACAAGTGAAGAGTGGATAAGTGAAACTGCGGATATCAATCCCGTGGCTACATAGGTCCTACTGGATTCCATTTTATCTTGCCTGGGTATCAGGATCAGGCTGAGCACTCTCTTGGTTGTCACCTTTGTGATGTCTAACCAGAAAATCCATGAGCATGATGTGGAGTCCACTTCATGCTTCTGCATGTTTTTAAATGCCTCCCGTGTTGCTCCAGATATGGTGCGTTGTAAGCGGGTTAAACCGCTGAAGCCTCTGTGCTGCAGGGTCAGAAGACCAAGCAGTCGTAAGATCGAATCCACGCGACAGAGTGAGCCCCCGTCGCTTGTTCCAGCTCCTGCCAACCTAGCGATTCGAAAGCATGAAAAATGCAAAAATGCGAGTAGATAAATAGGTACCACCTCGGTGGGAAAGTAAACAGTGTTCCGTGTCTAGTCAAGCTGGCCACGTGACCACAGAGGATTGTCTGCAGACCAAATGCTAGCTCTATGGATTGGAAAAGGAGATGAGCACCGCCGCCTAGAGTTGGACACGACTGGACAAATTTTCAAGGGGAACCTTTACCTTTACTTTATCTAAGCCTCCTTGAGTCCTTTTCAAGGGAGAAAGGTGGATTAAAATATTTTAAGTAAAGAAAATAAATAAATGCACAGCAAGTGCTCCTGTGGCATGAAATCTCCGTTTGGAATAACCAGGCAGATGAGAAAGGAGCCTCAAATGGCAACAGGAAGTGCACGAGGCTGAACTCCCATCAGGGAGAGCAGGAGTCTTCCTCAAATCCAGGTGGAAGACACTGAGCACCCCCACCCCACCCCATGTGTGAGCGTAGTCTGTCAATTGCCACTAGCTCAGGGAGTGGGAGCACTCCTCCCACGCCGATCTGATTGCATGATCCTAGCCAGCATTTAAATGAAAGCCAAATGTTGCAGCTAGATGAAAACCATTTTGGCTCTTTCAATTGCTCCACAAACAGTCCACAGCGTAGCTCATGCCATCCTGTGTAGCTGATGTGCAGGTGTCTCAGGACAGACAAAATAAGCTACTTCTTCACACACTATAAATAACTGTTAAGATCATTTCTGCTGCCACAAGAAGCAGTGAGGGTCACTGGATTAGAGAACTTTGGAAATATGCCCATTTTGGGGGAGGGGGGATGGCAATATGAAATCTCTGTGCCTAGTATAACTGGTGTGGAAGTCTTTCAATTTTTGTCCCTTGCCCCTGGTTTAATTTTACGGTATGGAGATACTGACTTGCCAGCCTATTACAACGACATTAAATCTTGCATCATGAAATGTTAGAGGGTTGTAACTGATTTATAATTTGTGTATTACTTAAAAATCAGGATTGAATAACTTTAAAAAAAGAGCAATCTGTGTTCTCTAGATGTTGGATGGGTTGGGTTTATCCTTTTGTTGTTCTTGTTTTTTGTTCTGTTGCTTTATTGCTCCTTTTAAAAAGGCGATTGCATTGGTTTTGTCACTTTACTGCATCTTTCCCTTAATTGTGTTTTTTTAATTCATGTTTACAGTCTATGTCTAGACAAATCTGATGGCCTCCATTCATTTCCCTGGAGATTCGTTTAAAGGAAGAGAATTCTGTTCCATACAGAAAGCTTGAGCCATTCCTCCAAAATGTCAAATCCCAGCCATGTTGTTCTGATAGTCTTTTGAATGATTTCTGTATTTAAACACTTGAAGGGACAGAGTTTCTCCTGCATGGACCCTAGTGAAAAAGCCAAAGGAACTGCTCTGCTAAGGCCCCAGGGAAACTCCTGGGAACACTACGATGGCATTGTCACATAATTATTGGCACACCTTTTCCTTTCTACATAAACTTCCTTTGGTTTTTAATATATTCTGTGGCATCTGTTGGTCTTTCTCCTAGATTTATAATGTCTACCCGTATCTTGGATTCCTTTTCAAACCACACAAGACAATCTTGAAAAGAAGTCATGAAACTTTTGCCGTTCTGAAGAAATTTGTCCGAATGGGCAAACAGAACATCAATGAGAACCACTTGGAGAGTTACGTTGACAAGGTGGTCTTTCAACAACAAGAAGAGGTATTTTCTTTCCTCCATACTGGGGATTGTAGTGGGCCGAAACTTTGAAAAAAGTTACTTATCTGGACTACGCCTTGTAGAAATTAGGAGATTGTAGAAAATGAAACCTCAATAAGGAACTTTTCCCAGATCTGGATGAATCCCAGGAAGTTACATTGTGAAAACACGAACTGATAATGCACCACTTCCATGCTGAATTTATAAGATAGTATTACATAAATGGAAAGACAGAGGCTTGGTAAGCAAATCTGTAAAAGGGACGTAGCAATTTTCAAAGCTGCACCTCAGGGGGACCTGACGTCAGGGTTTCCATTTATAGATCACCTTCCCTAAAGAGAAATGCTGCAGACAGGAGCGTAGACAATTTTACTCTGTGTCACTCTAGTCTAAACGATTCAGCATTTGCGGTTATTGGATGGCTAAAGAGTTGTTGTTGTGAAGGAGTCTCATAGCGCAGTGGTTATACTGCAGTATTGCAGCCAAGACTCTGCTCACAACCTAAATTCCATCCCACGTAGCCGGCTTCAGGCTGGCTCAGATTTCTATTCCTTCCTTGGTCAGTAAATTGAGTACCCAGCTCATTTCAGGGGGGGGGGATGTTTAACCTCTATAATTAATTGCAAAGCACCCAGAGAGTGCTTGGAGAACTATAGGGTGGTATATAAGTAGCTCCCTTTTTGTGGTTCTGTTAACTCTTGTTCGTCGTGGTGTTTTATCATTCTTCAATGCCGTTTTTAGTTAGTTACTTGATAGCTGTTCTGAGTTTTGTTTTTAAAGAAAAACAGTTTTTTTCAAATGGAAACTACAAGGTTTGCAGCATGTGTTTCTTATCCAAAGGAAAAACACAAAGAAAAGAATACGTTCTATGACGACAATATATTATCATCATTACTTGACCTCGTCATAGCTGGGACAGAGACGACAGCAACCACGATTCGGTGGGCCATCGTGCTGATGATGAAATACCCCGATATTCAGAGTAAGTTATAAATAAAAACACACCACGCACCCTCAAACTCCTTGTGATGCTGATATATTTATTATAAAGTGTAAAATGATACTCCCTGTGTTTCATTGATTGTGCAGGGAGTCCCTATCATTTGAAGCCAGTTTTTTTTATCCCCAGGGATGGAGGACAACTTCTGATTGTCCCAAAATGATGCTTTATTTGAGTCCATATAGATACATGGCAGCCACTTGCTGATCCAGGACAAAGTTAAGGCGTTCTGGGTTTTGACAAGATTTGTATTCTTGCCCATTCTGAGGTGGGGGAGCAGCTGGTACAGTGTCTCAATTTGAGAGGCACTGTTGTGCTTCTTAATTTGAGAAGAGAATGAAAGAAATAGTGATAGAAATAGACAGCATCTCATGGCAATGGCTTCTTGGACCAGTCTGACTAGTGGTCTGTTTGGAGATGGGCACCTGGTCTGTCCTGTGTGTTTGGCTCTGAGTGACACACCAGCTTTCTGTAGCTGGAGACAGAGCATTCTAGTCCTAAGACTGCTTTCCTGAATTTGCCATGGACCAGATCTTCAGCAGCAGAGATGAACCAGCCCTTTATAAAGAAGGTTGGGGGAGAAGAAATGGGAAAATCCATTTTAGCCTCCTCCCCAGCACAAGCTTTTTAATTTCAATACATTTCATCCTCATTTGAGACAGAATTCCTTTTGCAGAAAAAGTCCAGGAGGAAATCCACGGAGTCCTTGGAACAGAGCGTTTGCCCACTTACGAAGATCGGAAACAGCTGCCCTTTACTGAGGCGGTAATCCATGAGATACAGAGGTTTGCCTCTGTTGTGCCTCAGTTTCCACGGAGCACTGCTGTGGATACACACTTCCGTGGCTATTTCATTCCTAAGGTATGGGGTATGCTTTCTTGAAGGTGGAAAAGGGTAGGGCGTGGGGTGAGGAACTATGCCCAGGCAGTGGGGAAGCGAGGGAGAGAGAACAGTAGCAACTGTGTGGGAGTTTGCTGCTTACTGTAATTTTCTATTTTACCTTTTCCTGTTTTCCCAACGCAAAAATAGGCAATACATTTATAGATCACTAAAAAAAATCATCACACAGTAAATGAGCTTTTGTGAATTAAGCACCACTTCATCAGGTTCGTACCAGTGTGAAGAACTTACAAGTCCAAAACTTAAAGTCCAAAAGTACCATGTTTCCCTGTAAATAAGATAGTGTCTTATTTTGGTCCAAAAAACACATTAGGGCACATTAGGGCTTATTTTCAGGGGATGTTTTATTTTTTTTTCCATGCACAACCGTCTACATTTATTCAAATACAGTCACATCATCTTCTGGTTGCTGCACGATGGTGGAGGGCGGGCTTTCACTTAATTAGGGCTTATTTTGGGGGTTGGGCTTATATTGCAAGCATCCTGAAAAATCATACTAGGCTAGGGCTTATTTTCAAGTTAGGTCTTATTTTCAGGGAAACAGGGTACATGGCAAGATGGGTTTTTGCCAAGAAAGTTGCTCTTAGATGTTAAGTTCAGAAGTTCTTGGCAATTCCAATTATCATTCAAACTCAAAAGAAATGCTTAGCCCATTCCAAATGTCAAAGGCATCCAAATTATAACTGAGCTACTCCGTACCTTAGCCCTTGTTCAAGTAACTTTCCTTCCCCTCCCCGAGAATTGGGAGGGATACAGCCCACAGCCTTTTTTTGGGGGGGGGGGGACTGTGACTCCTATCATCTCCTAATCAGCATGGTTACTCTCCATGTTGGCTGAGCAGATTGGGGGGTTGTAATCTAAAAAAAGGACATTTCCAGGCTCTGGATGAAATTTTTTTTATCCTGCTCTCCCTTTTTTTCTGATTTTCAACCCCTTGTGACCTCAGTCTGTTTGTATCTCAGGGTACAATGGTGATCCCTTCTCTTACCTCCGTGTTGTATGACAAAACTCAGTGGGAGACTCCTTTCCGGTTTAACCCCAACCACTTTCTGGATGACAAGGGGAATTACGTGAAGAAAGAAGCGTTCATTCCTTTCTCAATAGGTAATTTGAATTCTTTCCAGGAGCAAAGAAAAGATCTCTTCTTTCAGATTTATGGAGGAGGCAGATTTCCACAGCTGGCCATTTTCTCCTCTGAATTAAACAAGGCCTGACGCCATAGAAGCAAGGATGGGTGATCCGCTGTGGGCCTCCTGTCTTTCCGGTGAATGACAGGAAAAGAGTAGGTTAGCTGTTGCTTGTCTCACCCTCACAAACGATAAGAGACAATTGCCACATTCGCTTCCATGGTCTGGAGACTGGGTGAAGTCTCATACTGTTCTCAGATAATCCTTGCAATAGCAGGTGATATTGTTTTGTTTTGTTTTTTGAGAAGGGGGCGCAGACACCCAGCAGTTCGTACAAAAACGTGTGCAAACGAGACGGCCACTCCTTAATTTTAGCAGCATTTGAAAATTTAGAACCTTGGCTCAAGCTCTTTCCATCTTTTAAAGCAATCAGCGGGTCCCTTCTGTGCTTGCTCTGTGTCTGTGCTTTGCATTTCGAGGGGAAAGGAAGTGAAGAATCTCCCTGCCTCAAGGCGTCTTCTCATTAGGTTGAGACTACCAAAATTCACAAGGACTAAGAATTTTATGAGTAGGTTCCTGAGCCATTAACCAGTTATCCAATTGACTGGATGACCAGCAAGTGACTCTCTGGCTTGGAGCAGCAGGCTCTCCAACAGGTCTTTGGATGATAGCCAGCTCTGGCGGGATCTGGGATTCACCAGAGCCCTACTCCTAGCCTCTCCTGAGCCTGGCCATCCGCCGAAAGCGGGCACCCCTTTGGGAAGCTTGAAGATCTTTAAAGGAGCAGCCTGCTTGTCAGAGCCTTGTTTTTCATCATCATTTTTTTATACTGCCCCAGGATATGTGTTTTTACTTTGGTATTGAAGTAGACATGAGGGGTCCAGGCTTGGTGGGTGCCTTGGCTGAAAGAGGTCTATACCTCAGTCTTCTGAGTCAGTGTTTGGGTCTGCAGTTGGGACTTCTCCAGCCTTAAACCGCTAAACTCCATGTCTCCCTGGGACTTTGGGGGGCATTTTTTTTTTCTGAATCCATGCCCTGTGTGTTGTTTGAAACCTATGCCAGGCTCTGCTAATGAAGTTTCAAGGTGAGGCAGGCTGACCACCACTCTGCCCATCCTCTGCATCTGTTTCAATAGCATATATTTAATAGAATCGATGTGTTATGATTGTTGCAGGCCGAAGGAATTGCCCTGGAGAGGCCGTGGGCCGGATGGAGGTCTTCCTATTCTTTGCTGGGTTGCTCCAGAAGTTTACCTTCCGACCCCCTCATGGAGTCACAGAGGCTGACCTGGATCTCAGCTATGTGAGTGCTTTCACACGCCGGCCCCAGTCTTACTCTACCCGTGCTGTGCCCTGCACATAGGAGAGGCGATGCGACAAGAAGCATTCCATTGACTTTCTTACACACTTTGAAGACCCGACTGGTCCCTGCCCTGATACGAAAGTCCCTTTCTGCCCAAAGAGCAGGGCTTCATCCACCAACCAAGCCACGTCCACTGGGTTCTTTCTATGTCCTTGTGTCTCGTTATGGAACAACAGACTCCAGTCAGCAGAGGAAGCAAATACTCTGTGGCCATTTTTTTCTCCCTACCCGCCTGAAACACCTACATGCCAACGTTGTTTCCTTTAACTTCCTCCGCAACCTATTTTTCTGTGAAGCCTTTGGCATGACTTCTGAGGCCACCTTTCCCATGATGTTGAACTCTGTGTCTGGGCAGTGCTATTTCAGGCTGCTCCTGGGGGGGGCCCTATGATTGAATCCTTCTTGGTACGAATGTGTATTCTTAAGGAGCCTCATGGCACAGTGGTTAAACTGCAGTACTGCAGCCAAGCCTCTGCTCACAAACTGGATTCAATCCCAGATAGCCGGCTTGAGGTTCACTCAGCCTTTCGTCCTTCCGAGGTTGGTAAATTAATTACGCCAGCTCACTGGGGAGGGGAGGCAATGTGCAGCCTGCATAATTAAATTGCAAATAGTCCAGAAAGTGCTTAAGCATTATGGGGTGGTAGATAAGTAGCATACTTTGCTTTTTCTTTCTTTGTTTTTTTCTGCACATTTAAAAGAAAGGTGGCATGTCAGAGAGGAAGGTTCTAGCCAAGCTGTCATTCCCTGGTATAGTACCTTTTCTGTGTGCAACTATGTTATTATTTTTTTAATGAAAGGACATTCATTCTTCTGAATTCCAGTTCCACCAAAAAACTATAGCCTTTACAGATATATCCTAAGACATAGACTGTTCACCTCTGTGTGAACCTCACCAGCTAAATGAAAGTTTCATTTGAAAGGCTAAAGAATAAAACACACACACACACACACACACACACGTTTGCTTGCCTGTTCTTGCTGTTCTATTCCAGGTTATTTATGGCACATCAACAGCTTTGTCACTCGCATCATATTCCATCTGCTGTTTTCCACCCACCAAATCTAAGTTTAGTTTGTAAGAACTTTGGGCCAGGATCAGGTTGAGTGGTTTTTTTTTTTTAATTTCCTTTAAAGTACAAACATAACATTTCCTTCTAATTTCCTTTTGTTCAAGAAATCCTTAGTCGACCAAGCAATTAACTGTAAGGAAATGTATTTGCTTATTTTTCTCTGCAGCAAGCCTGTAGTTATATGTAATGAGACTGCACTTCACATATAAGCACTCATTTTAATAGCCTCAGCTATAACTGCCTATGTGAGCAAGCAAAGCAGCGCTTCAGGATTATAACAAGCTGTCCATCTTTCAGGTAAAATCTTGCAAAGACTTTTTGTCAATTTTCCTATTTTCTTACTTTTCTTTAAAGAAATACAAGTTTTTAATTATGTTCAATGCCAGTAGTGCTTATGTTTTTCATGAAAAATCACACCAGTTCTAGCTATATTTAGTCAGGCTGGAAAGAGCTGCGCAGTTGGTTCTGTGCATTCAACTTGGTTGTACAGTATGTTCCTTGAGCAAGAAGCTTTGTGACAGGGTCTCATTTTGAAACCGAGGAGTTTTTCAAAAGCAGTTTGTCCTATTGCAATACTGAGTGAATAAAAACAAACAAGAAAAGCTGGGGGATCGGACGTCAGGAATATTAAACTGCTGACTAATATCAAACCTCTGTTGCCATCTACTGCCCAAGCCCTTTTACTGCAGCCCCCACCCCAGAATCATAGTTGTGTTAGTTGCAGGATCATAGAGTTGAAGACGTCCTAAATAGTACATCTTGTCCAGTGGCCATGCTAACTAAGGAATTCTGGGAAACGTAGTCTGAAAAGCCATATTGTCTACATTCCAGACTCAGTTCTAACCCCAGCTCACTTCAGGATGCTAGTGCATCTCCAACGGCTGTCCAGCCTTTCCTTCAAGATCTCTAGGACAAAAAGTCCACCCTATCCTTCGGATCAGGGGTATGCAGATGGGACCTCTATGTGATTCATTCTGTGCTTTACTAGATCACCAGCTAATCTGACATATATTTTCAATACATTTTGAATTCAGAGAACTCTCAGCTCAGGAATGTGTACTGAGTAGCAGAACTGAATGAAGCTTGCAGGCTTCCACACAAAAATCTTCTCCAGAATATTCAGGCTTTGTTCACATGTTGATGATATAAATTAGAACAAGTATGTAATGCTGTTGTGATTAAATGAATTAAAGGGAGTCAGAAAACTTTGCCTCTTTTCAGCTGATTGTCCAGAGATTTGCTTTCTGCCCATCACTGCCCGGCAGAGTTTGTCCTGTTTTCAAGGAGCTTTGTCAAACATTCAGCCAGAGTGTACACTGAGCCTGCAAAACCAGATCACACCCTGTGAGGCAGCAGAGAAGAAAGCCTTTGGCCCTGTTGTACCTGGCAGCCCTTCAGGTGTCTGAAGAGGGTTTTTTAACCATCCCTCCTCCCACCCCAGTCTTCTCCAGGTTACACATACCCACTTCTTTCAACCCTACCATGTAGGAGGTTAGCAACCGCCTTCATTGCCATCCTCTGAACCCATTCTAATTTGTCTCCCGAATTACCAGCTCCTGCAGAAAGGGGATTCGTTGCTGCCCAAGCGTTGGCCAAGAGCGCCTTGTCTGTGGGACTCGTCTGGACACAGAGTTCCTTGTAGGCACCCCACTCTTCAAAGTCCCTGCTCCTCAGAAAAAGAGGGAAAGGGCAAAATTACAAACAGAAGCCCGTCTCTTTCGTGCACTAGGCGCTGGGGTGGAGAAAGCCTGGTTTTGGTCTTGGGGTCACGGGGTCAGCAGTCTTTGTGAAAGGAGCCAGGGCCCCTCTGGAGTGACACATAAGGCCAAGATGGCCCAGGGAGAGCCTTGCCTGCAAGTTGAATTATCCCTGCTTCATACAGAAAAAAAGAAGGACCATACCCCTTGGGTTTTCTGATCCCTTTCTGCAATAAAAAACAAATTAATGAAAACAACAAAAAGCAAACTAATAGAGAAGGCATTTCTAGCCACATCAACATTTGGGTCTGTTGGGTGTCACCAGCCTCCTGATTGGATTCCTTCTTCAGCAATTTCGTTTTGCTACCACCCAGCGCCTCTCTTCTGCGACAACTCTTCCCTTTCACCTTCCTTTTCATTCCTGCTTCCACACACCCACACCAGTTCCTGCATCAAGGAGGACTTGGGTCTGCCAGGATGTTTGCAGAAAAGAAAGGCTGATCCAAGGGGGGAGAAAGCCAGCAAACCCCTGGCCGGTATGTACTTCTACAGACAGGCTGGGAAGGCTGTTCTGAAGGCTTTGCTAGGACAGAAGGTTGGTGAGCTGAAGCCTGCCACCTTTGGGAAGAATGTTCTGCCCTTGTTTTCTTCCTGAACTAGCCCTGCACTGAATCGGCAGCTTGGGAAACTCTGGCATCCAGGCCATGAGTTCTTTTTAATGTGATGGTATAATCACAATTGCATTGTGGGTATCTCAATTCCACTTCAGGTCTTTAAGGGGCAGCCAGCCAGTTGTGGCTAGACCCATGTCATGAAGAGGGGAACCTCAGCAGTACCAAAAGCAACTCCTCCCCAAGTCCACAATTTCTCCAGAGCTTTTGGACTCATCACTTCTCCAGCCTGGGTACTTGAGAATTCTATACTAGGTCCAAGAGCTTTCCGACAGATGCTGCCATGCCGCCCATCTCTTTTGTGGAGTTAGGAGGGATGATGTACAAGAAATAGTGGGCTTTTGGCAAACAGCCCAGCTAGCCAGACAAGACAAGACATCTTATGAGCCTAATCAGGAGATGAGGAGGCCTGTGTGATTCCCTTCCTGGCAAAGAGCTAGGAAAGATCCATTGTCAGCTTCCTGTACAGACTCCCAATAAGAGCTAAGCCAGGGCTGATGAAGCTGTTTCCCTGAGTTCTTTAGCAAGGTCCTGGCAAGTACAAAGCCTCCAGATTTGGATAGGAAATGTTTCAGGGATTTGGATTACAGGGCCATAGAATTCCCATAGCCAGCATGCTTAGTAGCCAAGCCAACTTTTGAATCATGGGAGTCGACGTCTCAAACTCCCCAATACCTGTATTCTCCATCTTTCTTTGCACCTACCGGCTCTACAAAATGTGGGAGAAAGACTGAGAAATTTCAGGGATGTCAACCTGATGGAGATAGTCCAGTGAAGTGCCACCTGGTGTCTGAATTGGTCTTGACTGATTTGTCCAAGCACCTTACACTAATAGTAACTAATATCTACAGATCATTTTACAGTGTGTATCAAAGTATGTCATCTGCCTGCCTACCTTCCATGACTTAGCAAAGGCCTTCCAAAGCAGATCTGCCTCAACATCCCCAGATTGCAGACAAGAGGGCAGTGTCTGAAACGAGGAATATGAGCTGGGATTTCCTGGGTCATTAGATCCAGCACCATTTTATGCATGTTTGTAATAAGATGTATCAAGGATCCCAGACTCGGTGGAACCACAAAAGCCGAGGCATGAAGCCTCGAGATGCAGGATTGGCTGTCCTGGCTCCTTTCCTCTCTGACTGTGTTCTCCTCTCCCACATGAGGAAGGCTGCCCTGTGTCCCAGCACCGCAAGCCATTGCAGGCAGAAGGGATATGTTCGCAGCTGGCGGCAACCATAGTAGAAGCCTGGAAGGAGTGAACCTCAAAACTCAGGCAATGGATCGAGAAGGGGCAGCCATAGGAGTATGAAGCCACCTTATTGGAAACTTAGCACCAAGGGAGGCAACAAGTGACCTGCCGGTGGGGGAATGATAGATAAATATCTAGGACAAAGTAGGGAGACAATGATAACTAGCATCACACCAGAGCTAATTCCAGGGACAGTCTTCTCAGTTTCCTTCTTCATCAGCTGATCCATTTGGCCCCTTCCACCTCCTGCTAAACCCAAAAGTGACAGTGAGAGGTTGTTGGTATGCCTTTTGACAATTTCTGATTAAGGTGGGAATTACAAGTTCCATGATAACATTATTATCTGGAAGAAAGCTGCCACAAAGCTCCTTTGTGGGATCAGGCATTTGCTGTATGTTCCAAGAGGCCACACGTTAGGAATACTTCACTTTTGTACAACAAAATGTCAGTTTTAACAGATGTGCCCAGTCAAAAGTCCGTTTCCTGCCTTCACCTCTGTCACCCCACAATTCTCCTGAGCCTGGAATGTAAGATCTCTCCTTTGTGGCCCAGGAGGGCAGTTCTGGGGCTGGAGGCTGGCCTCCTCCAAGCCACCATGATTTAAAGAAGCTCACATTAGCAGCTGCTCAAGAAACTAAAACCCCAGGCTAAAAAACCTGGTGCAGCTAAAAAATCTTGTTAATAATAATAACAATAAATGGGAGCCAAGCAGCATGTTATACAGAAGTTGATTGGTGGCTTACTTATTTGTTTGGGTGATTTAATTTGACACATTTCAGGGGGCCAGGTCCTTGCCAAATCATGTACAT